TACTTGGCATGTATTTTTTTTATCCATTTAGCCAACGTATGTCTCTTCAGTGGGCAATTCAAACCATTCACATTTATTGAGAGAATTGATATTTGGGGTGGATTTCTGTTCATCCTGTTTGATAGACACTTATTATTTTGTTTGACCTCTCAAGCCATTGTGGGATCAGCATTCTGGACTTTAACTTTTGAGTGATTTTACAGTGATGGGTGTCTATTGCACTGGTCAGTGTATAATGCAGGTCTGAGTACTTTCTGCAGGGCAGGTTTGGTCTTCGCAAATTCCATCAGTGATTGCTTATCTGGGAAAGTCGTTATTTCTCTCTTAAATAAGAAGCTTAATTTTACAGGATAAAGAATTCTAGGCTGGCCATTATTCTGTTTTAGAAAACTGGGATGGGTCCCCAGTCCCTTCTGACTTGTAAGGTTTCAGTTGAGAAATCTATAGTTAGTCTAATAGGTTTTCATTTGTAGGTTACCTGCTATTTTTACCTCACTCCTCTAAGGAGTGCCTCTTCCATGTTTTACTTTCACCAACCTAATAACTATGTGATGTGGTGACTGCCTTTTCATATTGAGTCTCCTGGGAGTCCTGTGTGCTTCTTGTGCCTATATATCTAGATTTCTGGCTAGGCCAGGGAAACTTCCTGTTGTTCCTGAAAATAGGTTTTCCAGCCCTTGTGTATTTCCCTCTTCACACTCATAGATGCCTGTGATTCTTATGTTTGGCTTCTTTACATGATCCCACATTTCTTGTATGCTTTGTTCATGTCTCTTGTTTGTGTGTTCTGTTTCTTCATCTGATCTTTTTAGCACACAGGTGTTATCTTCAAGCTCTCAGATTCTTTACTCTGCATAATCCAGCCTATTCTTAAGATTTTCCACTGTGTTTTATAGTTTCTTGAATTCCCTCTTTCATTTCCAATATTTCTGTTTTTTTCATAATACTTCAATTTCTATAGAGGATTTTTCATTCATTTCCTAAATTGTTTTTGTAGCTTCTTTGTGTTCAGTTTCTATTTTCTCTTGAATTTCATTGAGCTTTCTTGTAATCCATATTCAAAATTCATTTGTCAGGCCGGGCGCGGTGGCTCACGCCTGTAATCCTAGCTCTCTGGGAGGCTGAGGCGGGCGGATTGCTCGAGGTCAGGAGTTCAAAACCAGCCTGAGCAAGAGCGAGACCCCGTCTCTACTATAAATAGAAATAAATTAATTGGCCAACTGATATGTATATAAAAAATTAGCCGGGCATGGTGGCGCATGCCTGTAGTCCCAGCTACTCGGGAGGCTGAGGCAGAAGGATCGCTCGAGCCCAGGAGTGTGAGGTTGCTGTGAGCTAGGCTGATGCCACGGCACTCACTCTAGCCTGGACAACAAAGCGAGACTCTGTCTCAAAAAAAAAAAAAAATTCATTTGTCATTTTAACCATTTTGTTTAAGTTGTCATCCATTGCTTAGGAGCTAATGATTTCTTTTGGGTGGTGAGTTTTTGCTCTGATTTTTCATGTTTCCTGAGTTTTTTCACTGATTTTTTTTTCTCACCTGGCCTCTTGGTTGAGAGCTGGGCATGCTAGAGCTGGCTTATGGCTCTGTTTCCAGGTCCCCAAGGATCATTCCCTGACAGTGCCAGAGAGAGGAGCATTGGTTTTGCATTGCCTTAAGAGTGTTTTAACAAGTTTGATGAACCTTTTGGGTTACCTCTGACCTGTTGTCTTTACCTCTTCCCAATGGAGAGTAGTGAGTTTGGTCCCCCAACTTAAGCTCCAAGATGGTGGGTTGTACCTGTGGATATAAATCCTCTGCTCCCTAATAGCTTCAGATGGAGGATAACATGTTTAGCTGTGGCATTGTTCCTTCTGTCGTTTATTGTAGTTTGCATGGAGGAGCCAGTTACCAGGGTAATCTATTGTGCCTGTAGTAGGCTCTGGTCCCCCAGGTGCTGTATATGAATGCCCCAAGCTTTGGGAGGGGCCTTGTAGCTCCTAGGGGTTTCTTGTACCCTACTACCCTCTGAGGTTGGGGGAGGAACAAGAGAGATCACAGCTGGAGTACAAAAGCCTAGGTGTGTGAGCCTCTGTGGTTGCTTATCCGGCCACTATGTGTAGCCACTTATATGGAGTTTAGGGCTATCTCTCCAAGCTTGGAGGGTTGCTCCTTATGGAAGGGACCAACTAGTGCAATTGCTGAGGTCTCTAGCTAGTTTGTGGTCCCTGTCCACAAACCCAGGCACTTTCCCCTCCCATTGGAACTCTTGGGTTTCCTCTCCACCCAAGATGGTCTCTCGAGCTTCTCCATAGTTCATGTGTCTGGCCTGCTGGTGTGTGCCTCTGGGTGTCACTAGCAGATAGGGGAATCCCCAATCATGCACCTCTTTTCTGCCACTGCAAGGTGAGGTGGGTGGCCTTCTCTATCCCTATAAATCTTTGCCAGGGAGATGCTCTCACCAGGGGAAGGGGGATGGGGCTCACCCACAGAACCCTGCTCTCTTGTGCTCCTACACACCCTCCTGATGGGCCCAGGTTCTCACTTGCTCCCCCAGCCCCGTCCTTGGAACTGGAATCTCTTCCCCACACTGCCCAACCCCACCCTCTGCACCGTCAGCAGGTGAACACACCAAATGCCTGTTGGCAGGAGGCTCACAGACAGGTTGCCCTGTAGGCTGGAGACAGAAATGCATCCCTGGTGGTGAAAGCAGGTCACTCAGCACAGAGAACTCTACCGGCTGCTATGGTTTGGGGAAGGGGCTATGGGCTTCCTGCACCACTCTGGAGTTCAGCGTTGCAAGGGTAGGGTACCCATCTGCCCTCCTCTCCAAGCCCCAGTCATGGAAACATGATAGCCCTCCTCTCCACACCACTGCAGTGACCATGCTGACTGAGGCAGGCTCAGCTGGGAATACACTCCTGGAGTGTCTGCCATTGCCCAAGGCTTGCTTAACTAGGAGTGCGCTCTCTTTGTGGGAAGCCAAGTCACTCAGCGCAAGGCGCTTTGGTGGTTGCTGTGCAGTGGGTGCAGCCATGTGGCTACAAATGGCTTGAGCCAAAATTACTTCCTAGGATGCCAGGGGAGGAGGAGCAGCAGAGGAGGGGGCATCCAGATGCAGGGATGCTGACTCTCTGATCACTCGTGGTACTCCCCCCTGGGATGAGAGCCCCAAACCGCTTATGCTTTCCTTGGGCTCGAAACTCCCTGGAGTTAGTTTGTGCCGATTACTCCCTTCTATCCTCCTCTCTTTCATGTGCTCAGTTCCTCTTGGTAGTGTTCCTGGACTCCACTGGTGGTCTGTCCCTGTGGTCCGCTTCCAAGCAGTAATTACCCTCCACTCTCCTCCGTCCACTCCTCAACTCTTCTGCCATGATGGTTGGATAAGTTTTGTCTCTAGTTGGCCATCTTCCATTACTTTAAATAAGCTTTCTGGTCCTTTATCTCTCTCTTCTCCTGGGACTTCCATAATACATAATTTAGTCTGCTTGATGATATCCCATATGTCCTTTAAACTATCTTTACTCTTTTTCATTCTGTGTGTGTGTGTGCGTGCGTGCGTGCGTGCGTGTGTTCGTTCCTCTAGCTGATTATTTCAAATAATCTGTCTTTGAATTTACTGATTCTTTTTTCTGCTTCTCTAGTCTATTGTTGAACTCCTCTATTGAATTGTTTCACTTCAGTTATTGTATTCTTAAGCTTTAAGACTTCTATTTTTTTCTTTTTTGAATTTTCTGTCTTTTTGTTGAAATTTTCACTTTGTTCATGGATTGTTCTACTGAGTTCACTGAGCTTTTCTGTTATGGTTATTTTCAGTCTTCTTTCAGGTAATTCACATATTTCCATTTAATTAGAGTCAGTTTCTGAAGTTTTAGCTTGTTCTTTTGTTTCGGATTGTGTTTAGTTAGTTTGTTTGTTTTCCTCATTTTCTTTGACTCTGTGTGTTTGTATCTGTACATTAGAAAAAAATTGCCACCTTTCCCAGTCTTATGGATTGGCTTTGTACAGAAGACCTTCACCAGTGAACCAGACCAGAGCTTCTATGGGGCCTCTCAAATTATTGTGCTAGTCTGAACTCCTTTCTTTCTTCTTAGTGGCCCTTGGGTGTCTAGAGTATGTTCAGTCCTGTCAGTGCTCCTAGACAGGTGGCACAGAAGCCATTCCCTCAGTATCTCCTGGAGAAGTTAGACTGCTGGATACCCAGTCCGACTCTTTCCCTCCCCAGAGAGAAGCTGGCAGCTGGGATGTTTTTACTCACTCAGTTGAGCCAGTGAGAGGAGTTGTGCATATCTGCATGCTAGTTCAAACTGTACTTTCTTCTCTGTAGTCCCAGGGATACTATCATATGCCAGACCAAACCCTTTCAGCTCCCTGAGACAGGCAATAAAGAATTCAATCTCTCAGGTAGCACCTGGAGAAGTTGATATTAGATATGCAGTCCAGCTGCTTCTGTTCTCAGGTAGAAGCTGGGACTGGGATTTCCCTCCTGATCCTGTGGTACACTGTGCTGGGGGTAGGGATTATGAGTGTTTCTGCTTTTCCTACTGGTTTCAGTGTACCTGGTTTCACACTCACCCAGGGTGCAGGAACCTCTCAAGTGGTTACTAGATTTCTAATAAAGGGAAATGATCCTTATGTTACATTTGAATCACTGTGTCCATGGTGGAAGGAAGGAGAGTTCAGGGCTTCCTTATGCCATCTTGCTGAAGTAACTCCTCCCCCTTATTATTTCATAAAATTACATGTGAATCTATAATTATCTCAAATTAAACATTTAATTTGATTTTTTAAAAGAACCTAAAGTTTGCATGAGTCTAAAGTATCTCCTTGAGCAGAGATCTTTCTGCTGGGAACTTTACTCTTCAATTATGAGTGTGTCCAGTCTTTTCAATGTCTTCAAATTACATTACTTTGGAAACCTTCCTACCTACCAGGCTAATATTTTCTTGGAACAAGGAAAACATCGGTAATTGATTCCTCCAGATAAACTAACCCACTTTTTTTTTTCTGTCTATTCAAGGTTCTGGTGTGGAATGTATAATCGCTTTGACAAGGGGCTACAACCCAAGCAGAGTATGCTAGAGAGTCTCTTGGAAATTAAGAAACAGAGAGCAATGCTGGAGGCAGATGTGCACGAACTAGAAAAGGTGAGGAGAAAACTTCCAGAAAGAGATCTTGCCCCTTCTGAGTAAGCCCTTCCTGCTTGGAGTTCAACTGTACTTGTGGAAAGCTGCCTCTCTGGCTTTGTTATTCTCTTTGACTTCCAACTGTCCATGTGTCTACAAAGCTTCAGACATAACTCATTTACTTACTCCCCAAAGTGTGGTAAATATCTCACTCAGCTAGTTAAAAAAAGTGGGTTAGTTCTCTTTATCCCTTTTTGGGTCTGAGTGGAATGATTAGGAGGAACAAGAGGGAATGACAGGGAAATCAAACAGGCATTTGTTATCTATCAAGAGAATAAGTATAACATCTTGGATATGCTGATAAGAACAATGAAATTGTTATATTTCTAATTAGGAACCACTTATAAAAGAAGATACTTATTTCCTTCCTATGTAGATTGCAAACTCTGCTCATTGAGTGGCCATGCTATTTGTTGATTTTGCTTTAGAATACCAGCAAAACCAAAGTTGGACACTTGTTTTTAATTATAAGTTAAACAAGTACACAAAGATTTCTTTTCAAAATATGGAAAATGCTGAGCTGCTTATGGAATCTAGGGATCCCTAAGGGTCTGTTTGAAGGACAGGGGAGAGGCACTTCTTAGAAAAGGATTCTTGGACAGGGTGTACTATTTAGGAACTGGGTGTGGAACTTTAGGCCAGATAAGGCATAGCTTTTCTGCTCCCTATAAGTAAACAGATATCCTTTTATTGTAAAAATAAACATGTTGTGATTATATCAGATCCCAAAGTTTTTAATGGCCTCTTGAGAAGCAACAGCCAGTTACTTGGTCCATTAAAAAAAGGGGTGGGTACTGAAGCATCACTTAAAACCATAGGAACAAGCAGCTCTGGGAAGGCCCAGCCCTTGGCAGAATTAGAAATAGAAACAACTTCTTAGGGCCTCCTGCCTCTTTTTTTTTTTTTAAAGCTATTAGCAGCCTCCTTCATGGGTCCCTTAGAACAGGTCCCCTGTTCTACTCCCAGCCTCCTCACTTATCCCTGCCTGATACCTGAGAATCAGATTCATTTCAGGTAAACTCAGATCAGTCTCTGGAATGACTTCCTTTTGAAGTATATGTTACTAAGTTTTTTTTTAATATAGAGGAAAAATAACCCATAATATTATTACCCAGACAAGCCTATTGGCATTTTTTAAAAGGCAATGCAAGTATAAAGTTAGAAAATGCAGGATGTAATATGGTTCAAAATGAAAAGTTTAAAAGATTCCCTGAGCCACCTACCAATCCAGTGCCTCTCTCTAACAGTTATCACTGTTTTATTACAAATCACCATAAGTTTGTGATTTCTAGAGCAGTAAAAATGATATGACTGTACTCTAAGGCAGAAGCTCATAACGGGTATCTGTGAAACCTCTTAAATTATGCCTAAAAACTATGTATGTGCTGTCTTGTTCACACACATACGCATGCATGCATTTTTCTGAAGAGAAGGTCCATTATTTTCTTCAGATTTTCAAAGGGGCCTTATGACCCCAAGGAATCACTGTTATAAATTATCAGTGAATCATTGTATTATCTCTGAAAGGAAAAATAGCTACTGGAGGTAGCAAGGACATAGACTTTGGCATTAAGAAGATGCAGGGTTAGATTCCAGCTTTCTACTTCCTACATGTGTGAATTTGGGTGAGTTACTTGACTTCTCTGAGCTGCAGTTTCTTCATTGTAAAATACAACTCATACCTAACTGATAGGTTTCTTAGAAGAATAAACGGATCCTTATAAGGATACTGTATGTAAAGTGCCCAGCACACAGAAGTATTCAATAAATGTTAATGATCTCTCCCCTTCCCTCCTCCCTCCCAATAATAAAATTGCATTCATCAGAAAAGACGACTTTTATAGATAAGAGACCTTTCAGGCTCTTTAATGGTATGGCTATTAAAGCACTATGGCATGTGATTAGGGAAAGATATTTGGGTAGAAGGGCTATAAAACATCATTTGCTACCTCTTAAGTGAAAGCAATAGCACTCCTATAGGTCAGTGTGATATTTGCCTAGTTTTTCTCAATTGTGTTTTCTCAATAGTGTTTCTAATTCTCAATCATTCCTTGCTCCTGAGGCAGAAACTGAAAACCCGCGATGAGCCACCAGAAGAGGTCTGTACCTGCTCTCAATTAGGGAATTTATTTTCCCAGCATCTGGGCAGTCCTTTGAGCAATCCTCTTGGCTTTATGGGTATCGATGGAGACCTGAATACCTTGATGGAGAATGGTACCCTGTCCAGGGAAGGAGGCCTCCGAGCTCAGATGGATCAAGTAAAAAGCCAGTGTGCAGACCTCCACCATGACTGTTGTGGGACTGTGGGAAGCCTAAGGGCCATAAATATTTCTGGAGATGTGGGCATCTCTGGAGACACAGGCATCTCTGAGGCCAGAGGTGTCTCTGGAAACATGGACATCTTTGAGGCTATGGGCTTCTCTGGAGACATGGGTATCTCTGGGGCCACGAGCATCTCTGAGGTCACTGGTATCTCTGGAAACATGGGTATTTCTGAGGCCAGGGGCTTCTCTGGAGATACGGGCATCTCTGAGGCCAGTGACTTCTCTAGAGGCATGAGTTTCTCTGGGGCCATGACCATCTTTGAGGACATAGGCATCTCCAAGGCCAGCACCAAGGACACAGGCTGTTCCAAGCAACAATGAAATGGCTACTCTGCTTCTGTGTTGGGTGCACCTGCAGCAGCCACAATGATCCTTGTCTCAAAGAGGGCTATGCTGCTTTTCCAATTGGTTGAAGTGGGTGAGGCCAGGCATCCCTCCCCTCACCTAACGTCTAGAAGGGGATTTAGGACCTTTACTGATTAAGTAACCAGTATTTCCATGTTAAACAGTCCATTATGTAGGCAAGAGAAAGAAAGAATATGTTATTGTTCTAAAATGGGATTTAAGTTTAGAAATGTAGCCTCTCAGCTAGGATGCTTATTAAACTGGTTCCACTGTCTATTTTCCTTAATGATCAGCCTCCCCTACTTTTCCACCCTCACTGCTGTAGCATGAAGTAGAAATATTGTCACAGTGGACAATCAAGACCCTACATCATATAACTGTGAATTGCAGAATATTTTTTCACCTTGTTCTAATGGATTGACTAAGTGTGTATTATAATAAGAGTTAGCTGGGGTGTGAATTGAGGAGAGCCAGTGTTGTTTAAACACCAGATTTCCCCTTGAGGTTGATAGACTTGCTGTTTTTTTTCATATATCCTGTTTAGTAGTCAGTCATGATCTTGCTACTTCCACATGTTAGAGGTAGATTAGACCTTGGGCAGTTTGGGTCATACTATATAACATAGTCAGAATTTCCAAAACTCCCAATGCCAACAGAATCCAGGTCTTCACCCAAGATTGCTCTTCCAAATACTCTGGTTTAAGCTCAAAAATTAGATTGCTCAAGGAGCCATCTCTGTTGACTATCACACCCAGTTGTGAGCACAGGAATCTGTAAAGGATCACTTCATTAGGTGCTTTTCTCTGAAGGAAAGAGGTACCTTTTAATTTAAATGTTTAATTTAACTTAAGTGTAGGAGAGGAGAGCTAAGATAACTACTTGATTTCTTGCCCCTAGCTAAACTATGGACCCAAAACAACCTTCCTCTTTAGAGGCGGAAGTCTAAATCATTTTAGTTGTCTTTTTTCATATGTAAATAGGAGCTATTTTTCTATTTACCTCCTCTTGGTAGCTGTTTTAATTCTTTGTTTTTAAAGAACTCAAATTCATTTGGGTCTTTTCCATTCCTAAATAGGAGGGAGCCATTTTTTACTTACCTCTCCTTGATAACTGTCTTGATCTTATAATTTTAAAGCATCAGGATGATTTCCTATTGTATCTTCTCTTATCCTTTTCTTTCCACGATTTGGTCCTTGCCTTACATAACCTAAATCATCAGATGTTGCCAGTTGTCATTTGACTTCTGAGAAAAAAAATAGGGTTTGTGCACATCATTTGGATTTGGAGGCTACATCTAATAACCCTGGCTTTGTGAAAGAAGTTGTCAAAAAGGATGACAGTACCAGTCTGCCACGGGCGAGTCTATTCTGGGTCTTCCTTTATACCCAGGGCTTTTTCCCATGTCTCAATCTGTATTTTGCAGTCCATTAACTATTAATAGTATGATATTTCAGATACAGTATTTTGAGTGTTTTTTCAGGGGAGGAAAGTAAAAAGGAAAATTACAAGACTGTAGTTTTTGCAAATTCTATAAAAAACTAGTTTAACAGTCACAGATTTATTTCTAAAGACCTGTACAAGGGCAGTACAGAGTATTCAACCTTATTTCTCAGATCCAAAACAAAATTATTCAATGATGAAAAGAAGATCTTTTTGATACAATTCTAAACTGAGAAGTGGTAAACGACGACCTTGATATTTCTGAATGTGAAACCAAAAATTTTAAAAAGACTGTATTATTTTGTTGAATATCTAAGGCCATGGAATCAATTTCAGCCTCAATATGTGTGAGGTCAATTTATTTGTTCTTTTATTTTTTATTCCCTAACATGTCCCATTATTGCTTGGGTATAACATATATAAAACTAAAGAAAACCTTGTGAAAACTCCCTATTTATTCTCAATACCAAGCACCACCCTGTTTTACAGTTAGATTTAAAAATATGAGAAGAAAAGGGTGAAATCCAAATATTTATATACTTGTAAAAGCCTAAAAATGGACAGGAGACTCCTGAAGGAAAGTTGCCAGGAATACTAGAAAAGATGAACTATTAATGGCATTCATTACATACTCTGATATAGCACCTATGCTGTGAAAGAAATGTGACCCTTTCCCCCACTGTCCTAGCATTCCATTTCCCCAAGCAGAAATTCCATTCTCATATGACTGTTCTACTTAAATAGGAAGGCATTTAACCACCTGCCACGGTCTCATTCACTAAGCTGACCTCTGCCTGTTTTCTACACAAGTTTCATGTGCCTGGGACTGGTGCTTATCTTTTCTAAGTGTGAGGCAGGCTCTCTTCCTGTGCTTGTGGCCATAGTCAGATTCTGCATGGACACAGTTTTTAAAATTCATTAATTATTTACTTCAGTCGATGGAATGACAGATTTATCATAGTAATAAAACAGTCTTAAATAACAAACTTAAGTAACAGCTAACAGTCTGACTTTTTAAAGAAGAAATTCAGGAATAGTGTAAACTGTATGAAAGAAAACCTGAAACTGTATGTAGAACTAACAGAGCAAGAATGTAAAGCTTATGGTGCATATACTAGACATGTGTATCTTTGGGAAGTCACCTTAGAAATTATGTTCAGTTACCAGCAAGTCAGCTGTCATTGCCTGCCAACATGCATGAAACTCCTTTTGTCTGAGACATACTTCACACTGACCTTCCCAGAACACTTCCAGCCAAAAAGAATCTTAGTCTTTTTAAGAGGTGCTTTTCAAACAAAATTGGTAAATATTTAAGCTTGGTCTGATTTTAGCAGGAAGAGAAGTAAAATAACTAAGGATACTCATGTTAGATTTTTGTTACATACTGGCTCTTACAAGCACACAACATTTTTCTTGATGCTAATTAGGCTTTGATATACCATTGTGGAATCTTTCTATGAGAGTATTTTATAAAGTGGCCTTTTTCAAACAGTTGTGTAGGGAAATGTACATTACCTTTAAGAAAAATACTTTTCTCAAAAGGGGGTTACTATAATCCAGATCAGATTGGTTTGTACCTAGAAAGATAGTTGTCACTTTCTGCCTTAATTCCCAATGTGTATGAATTGGTGGTATCTGCACCAAATCTTTCCTTCTCTCTCCCAGAATTCTATGTATGATACAGGCAGATATTATTCCAACTAAATCTGGTTACTAAGTGCCAAATATAAACCTGACTTTCGATATAGACATTTTAAAACAAACAAAAAGTAGGCATGGCTTAAGCCTTAAATCTTTTCCTATGGGGTTATTTTTTAATATAATGTAAAGAAATGGCTAGGCTGTCAGGTAACACCAGAGGACAAGGGGAATGATTTGGGGTAATAAAGGACTCTTGTTTTCTTGTCCTTTTAAAGGCAGTTCTGTTTTCAAAGCATTTGATGGTGGCATAGAAGCTTTTCCTAGGCAAAAAAAAATTATTTTTTAAGCCCTACAGAGCACATCTTCTTTGATTCCCTGCCTGTGGGACTGATAGTCAATGTCTTACCCTTAAATAGGAAGTATTGGTATTGTCATCAGTCATGGCAGCCCACATCTCCTTTAGATGTCAGTACAAGTAAAAATATGTTACATACTCTTCACACAAGACAAGTGTGCTTTGAAAGCAGCTGTCTCATCTAGACCTATGTGTCTTGCAGGAGCTGAACAAAAATATGTTCAGCAGTTAGCTTGTGTGAAACCAACAGCTTCCATGTTAAGTCTGGTGCCCTGTCCCATCATATTTTCTAAAGCTCTGGGGATAACCTACAGGCTTTTTTGTCCTCCAAAGCTTTCTTGCCTTTCAACCATTTTCATGACCTTGTACTCTTAACTCTTTAGGGGGTCCTACACCAGCCCTCACAGAATCCCAGTTGTATAGAAGCAAGAGGGATGGCAGGAGGGAAGAGAGAGTAATACAGAAATATACCTGGCCACTTAAACAAAGGAAGTATAGACTCACCATGATGATGAGCACTCCAGTTATTTAAGATTTCATGTGCTCCTTGAGATTGAATTGTTCACAGTAAGGTCCAAAAAATAACCTCTTTTCCAGGCAGTACTATGACTGATGTATTTTCTTTTAAGGCTATCTTTTACATTGGTAGAAACTCTTAAGAATGCTATGAGTCATGAACTTTCCTTGTCAACACTCTTCTCTGCTGGGGTATGTGGACCTGGATTTTCTTTCCTTTTAGAGTGTCAACAATGATGGGTGGTATTCTCACCCTTTAGGGCCGATGAGTCCTGAGCCACCTTTTTGCTTCTGTAGCTGAAGTATCATTGGATCCCTTACCAGTCAGGTGACAATACATACACCAAAGTCACTAGATGATCACTGTTCAAAGACTCATGTTCTCTGGTCCCACATCACATGCAGTTGGCCACACCAGTTCATATTAAGTACCTCCAAGTCTTCACCTCGCTCATATTTGCAGACAGGGTGGTTTCTATATTTTGTGAATGCCAATGGGAATGCAGAGCACATATCCTAGTTCTGAAACAGAGCATGTTCTGTATTCCAGTTTAATAGTGCCTCGGGCTTCGGAACAGCTAACAAGTTCAGTTCTTTTGGAATGTAATTTATGGTAAGACTATTTGTATATGTATGTGTTTACTGTAACTTTAGTAGCATCTGGTCTCATAGGTCATTTGAGAATACAGATGAAGAGAATTTATCTAAGAATAAAATTCTTTTAGTTCTAAAATAAACCTCTAACTTTGATATTGTCTAGCTAAGTGCCATGAGGACTTTGAGACATGCCAAGCCAGAGATACAAACCAAAGTGAAGCATTTGGCCTTTTCTCTGGGATGTATTGATCAGATAGCTTCAGAAGTAAGGTTAAACTATATGACCAGTGTTATCTGTAGTGCGTTAATGTCTGCTACATGCTTGCATGAATATCATGCAACTTATGTATAATTCAGAATTCCAAACTGTATAGTAGGTTCTTTGAGAACCTGACTTTTCATTATCCCCAGGTTTACAGACTGACACAGAAGCTCACATCTGAACTTGCCAAGGTACAACAGTGTGAATGATTGACTTTTAACTTCCTGTTGTGTGTTATCTTGAGCCTGTCACACCACTAAGGTATGGATGTGTGACCCAGTCAGGATATTCCAAGTGCCACAGGGCTCATTGGCCCCCATCTGCAGTTGTGTTCCAGTTTGAAAATGTTTGGTTGATATTTTTTTGTCAA